AGTGCGTTGTTCCAAGGCAGACAAAGTGCTGCACCATGAAACGAAGAGCCATGCCCTCGGAAATCATGGATTTTTTGGGGGATGCAAAGAGTATTACTAGTTTCATCTGCTCTGGAAAGCAGTTAGTGACAAGATCACAGTAGAGGAGTAAAAATGTGGTTGAAATCTACATCGCAATTGAAAGTCAGGATGCTATTGTCTTTGTACCACATTCCTTTTATTCAGAGTACAACACAGAAATTCCAATTTTTTCATTTGATAAATATGCAGATTGCCAAGTAAAATTCTGTACAACTTGTATAAATACAAATATGTTCTTAGTGATAGCGACAAAATAGCATTTGGTGATGCACACCTTCTCGCAGCAGAGAATTATTTCCTGAATGTAATACGCTTGCTTTAAATGCTACCAAACTTATTTTCAGCCACTGAAATATAAAAATAAAGACATTTAGTTTAAGCACAGAATCATAGAAGAATTTGCTCACAAGTATAACTATTTTACTGCTTACTTATCAGAAAGTGCTCATAAGGAAACAGAGGTCGTTTATTTTGGCTCTCAATACTGGCTTAAAAATTTGATAGTGTGGATTCTGAACACCTGAGTCTGACATACATCCCCACACTTCACTCTGGGATGCCACACTGAGGACACACTAAATATAAGACTTGGGGTAAGAATAGTTTGGGGGTTTTTTTGTTATTGTTTTTGGAGTTTTTTGGACATGAGAGCAAAGGAACACTGATTATTCTGGAGATTTGATTTAAAAACTGAGGATAAATTTGAATTAACAAAAGCCTACAGCAGTTCAATGAGTATCTTTGGCATCATTAATCTGTATTTTAAAAGGGATAATAAGTACTTCAAGATCGAAACCTCCAAATAGAAATCTAAATAGGCTCTTGCTCGCAACAGCAAAACCCACAACCCCGAATACAATTGTAATGAGAGGAATCTGGGATCACGAGAGACGTTTAGTGCAATCATATGATGTTTCCTTCAATTTTTTCCATTTTCTTCCAACATGTTCACTGTCTGATGAACAAGCTAGTCATCAGCACTGCCAGAATGATAGGCATCTTTCCTGCAAAAGCAAAATAAAGAAAGTTAAAACCAAAGTAATAATGCACTATCTTGACTTCACTCCAGATGTTTAGGATAACGAGATTTTTCATTTTATGTTCTGTCTGAAAGATTTGTTTAACACAATTATAAACTAATGTAACCCTAAAATTAACAAATTTCCAATTAAAGTACAGTTCATGCTGTTTCTTCTCAGAGGCCATGTCCAAAACAGAAGAGGCAGGAAAAAAAAATTCATGAGTAGGATTAATCTATAACCAAAGTTAGCAAACACTGATAAGTTAGCTATTACATATCCTAAATACAGGAGCACTGGACTATCTATGCTCCCTCCCCGTAATGCTCAACTGTTAGAGCACTGGAAAGGCGAGGGGGTAATCTATAACATAACGCTGTTTTAGGACATATTAGTTTCTTCCACTGACTAATGATATTATACAAGAATCTTATTCAACTGTACAGCCCAAGAATACTATGTGGAGTAATGTAGAAGAGTCAACAGTACTTTTGTAGCACTGTCAGGGCTTAGGGTTTCACAGTGAACACACAATGAAACACCAACACCACTTGAGCTCTTCAGCAGAGATTTGTTTAGCACTTCCGGCCTGCTGTATATAAGCTCCACATATACAATTACATCAACTAAAAGTTGAAGCATACAAACTTTATATTACTCCTCCTCTACTGAATGAAGTCTCAGATTTAAGGATATAATTGCAACCTTACACCAGAAATGAAAAATCAACATGGGCTTTGTATCAATATTCTTCTGGAGAAAATATTTGTTCTTATATTATCAAAATGGTGTGCTCATTGCTAACAATGGTAATATACTGAAGTAATGTTTCTATGTTGAGAGAGCTGATAATGACAAGTTACATCACAAGGACATAAGGCACACAATGCATTCATAACTGCTGTAGTTGACAAAATAGTTACATAGAAATGGAGAATATAGTGAATATTCACATACGTATTACATTCAACATCTCTGTTCAGGCCACAGAAGAAAGGTAACCTAAGAAAGTAATTTATAGTCTCAATTTGATATGCTGCATAGTTGTATTTTCTTGCAGATAATGGTTCATTAGAACCTCACCATCTTTTTACACTGAAGTAAATATTTTATGTAAAACCCCTTTCAAGACCCAAGTTAGGTTTTTTCCCCATGTTCCTGTAGATCACTGAAGTGCTGATTTGCATCATATGGGCTGAACAGCAGGAAAGGAGAGAAACTAATTCAATGAAGTATTCAAGAGTATTCCAGAATTATTCCAGAATTCAAGAGTAAAGACCAAAGTTGCTTTTGCTTCCATAAAAGAAGGCTTTTTATATCATTAGAACTCCCAAGAAAACTGATGCTGAATATTAGGAAATTTTTTTGATGGCAATGAATTTTGGGGGGCGGGGGGGCACAGGTGGAAGTAGTGGAAGCCCTATTACCTGGAACTTTTAAAACTAGCATGGACTAAAATGGTAGGAAAAGTACTGTAGAGGGACAGGATGATTCGAGACACACACACACACACACACCCCCTATAATTCTATAGTCACCAGGTTAACCGGTTTAAAAAACAAATCCTTGTTCTTTCCATATCATTAGATGATTAAAAAAAGTGAAAGATTAAAAAAAACCTAGTTAATGCTATTTACTTCTGCATTTCTTTCAGAGTACTTAGGGATTTTTTTTAACTTTCCAAGCACTGGCACAATGAAGCATTGCACTGTTGCAAACTCTAAGAGAATGTTTAAATCTAAAAATTTTATGTACAATTTTCTATTAAAACTCAATTGTAAAAGAAATCCCATACAAGGTAAAATATATATGCAACCTACCCAGCTGTACCCCTTTTAAAGGAGGACAGTTTTCCCTCAAGCTTCCTATCAATATTTATATTCATATTTCTGCCAAACATCCTCAGGGAACTGCAGAAAACAGAGGTGTCAAGCTTCAGGTTCACATGATTGGGTGTATAGGATTAATTTATAGTTAGCGGATGTGCTAGTACCCCTTTACTGAGTGAAGTCTCGGATTTGAGCATATTGCTCTTCTAGAAAACATTCAAAAGAGCTATTAATAGTTTGACAAAAGATTGGTCAATATGCAAATTAAAGTCAAGTGTAAAGCTTTTAAAAGTGTTTCCTAAAAACTGAAGTTAAATCACTGGAAAAACCTATGGCTTTACATTTTCAGACAAACTGTCTCTGGGATTAAGTTAACACAACAACAATACAGAATTTTCTGCTGTAATGTGCGTGTCTTCTCCTATTTAATAGACAGCTCTGGTTAAAATGTATAGGAGGACAACGAGTTACCTCATTTAGGCTAGTTCTTTTAAAACTGTCCCCAGTTAAATCCTAGCAAGTCAGTATTTTTCATAGTCAGAGAGACTACATAGCAACATGCTACTTGCAGGTCATCTTAATATTGGATTTGTTTTATTCTGGCAGTAAAAGCCCATTTTAAATGCGAGTACCTTTTCTTGTGAACCTCCAACACTAAATATTATTCAAAAATTTTGCTAATTGGGCTTCTGAATACAATATTACCTTCAACAAGCACCAGGCTTGACGATCATGACAAAAATGCAACACGTCACAACAAGCGTAAGTGTTGCTTCAGAGGGATAATGTCGAATAGCTCACAACTTGAATTATATTGCGCTTGAGCACAACTAGTCAATGTACCTCCTCTAAAAAAGCATTAAAGGATATCGAAAATAAAAGGAAAGCTGAAAGTGATACAAAGCAGAAAGGATCTCTAAGGTCAGTTACATGTGAAGCTAGAGACAGCTCTAAATTAACAGTTGTAGGATGCTGTGCATTTCATTAGCTTAAGACATCACATGGGACACCATGTGTTGTTAAAGGCTTATGATCATTGGCCTTTGCTTACATATGAAAGACAAAATAAGCCTCAGCATCTGAACTCTCATTTACCCTACAAAAGATATTAGGCAGGGACTTTGTTGAAATGTCCTGTAAGCTAAGAATGTTTATTATGAGGATGGGAAGACTTGAGTCTCTGCCTACACAGGTAACAAGCAATACTGACATTTCTGAGAATGGTTATACAGTAAAAAGCAGGCTTCACAGCATCTAAGATGTCTCTACCAAAGTCAGGTAGAAACAGACATTTAGATTGAAACCAGATCTTGGGTGCAAATCAAAGGCACTTAAGAATCAATAGAGCCCAAGGGAACTGTATTGAAATGGCAGTTGATTTTAAAGCCATTTTAAAAAGCTTTTACACAGTGTTAATTAGCAGCAAGACAAAATCTCCACTGTGAACGCTGTAGCGAGCAGAACTTGAACAGCAGATCAACAGGATTATGTTTTTAGTGAGCCATATTCACATTTTACAAGCTTGAAAATGGTGCAGACGATTCTGAAGACATTCTGGGCCTGAATCTCTTGGGGTCCATGGGAAAAAGCTCTGGGACACACACCTAGTTTGAGGAGAATTCAAGAATTCCTATTTTGTTAATGGGGGAAGAAAATCAAAATAGAAAAGACACTGGGTTGGGGGATTGGGACAGACACTAAGGCTGGAGATGCAGTTTCCAACTCAGGTAGACATAGCTCAGTGCTAGCATGCTAAAAACAGAAGTGTAGCTGTGGCGGCACGAGTGGCAAGACAGCCTTCCAAGTACAACGCCACTGCAGCTACACTTGTGTTTTTAGCATGCAGGCTCAATCCGAGCTAATGCAGGTATGTCTACACCTGAGCTCAAAGTTACACCTCCAGCTCCAGTGTAGACATACACTAAGTCTCAAACCACCAGACACAGCTCCTTCCCTCCCACTGGCCAAGCTGAATGTGCCCTGATTTTTCCTTTTTACATGGATCTACAGTTTAAAAATGGAGCTTTAATTGTCCTTGGTTGTACAAAGGGAGTGATTTGTAGAAGCTGAAAAAGCTCTAGTGTCCCACTTTTAAAAGACTGGTATGTTGACAGGACAGAAATTGATTTCTATTATCTTAGAAATAAGATTAAAGTATATAGTATGAAAAGGAGTGTGAGCAAAGCACGTCGATTCCCTACATTATTGCTGGGGACAGAGGGAAATGAGGTAGTAGTGTAGAACCTTTTTGTACAGTGCTTTTGGGCTGCCTGGCCAGAATTTTGGATCATTTATTCATTTTTCTATCTGTATTGATTTTAAAGTAATATTCTGAAAATTTAATCTAACTGCTGAACTTACTAAGTTGTGCAAAAGGGACTATATGCAGTAAATCTCTGCCATGTTTCCCCCCCTCCCAGGCTGCTGAGGAGATGGGCTGAGAGTTAGATGGATATTTAAGGGCAACTATTCATAGTATTACACACAAAAGTTCTACGTTAAACATCCTATGTTAAAGGAACATTAATAAGGCTGCAAAGTCAAGCACTCCGTTACAAAAAGAAAGAATTAAGGTTGCCTGTACAACCTGAATTGAGCCCCCTTGTCCATACGCATGGTGATCAGTCTTTAGTTATATGATCACCCGCAGTTTTCTCCCCACAGGACCCCTACCTCACTCAGTGCATACGGCAGATATTACTCACTTAAGGAGCAGCTTATATTTTGTTTAGAAATATGCTTAGAAAAGAGAAGACTAACAGGATATGACGGAGGTCTCCAAAAATCATAAACGGTATGAACAAAATGTTATTTACCTCCCCTCCCATAACACAAGAATCAGGGGTCACCCTATGAAATTAACAGGCAGCAGGTTTAGCACCAACACAGAGTCAACCTGTGGAACTTGTTGACAGGCCAAAAGTTTAACTGGGATCACAAAAGAATTACGGTAGTTATGTTCATGGAGGATAGTTCCATCAATGGCTATTAGCCAAGATGCTTAGGGATGCAAGCCCATGCTCTGGGTGTCAGCACACCTGCCAGCAGCTGAGACTGGGCAACAGGGAATCAATCTCTTGATAATTGTCCTGTTCTGTTCATTCCCTCTGAATCAACCAACAGTGGCCACTGTAAAAAGACCGAATATTAGACTAGATGGACCATTGGTCTGACCCAGTATGGCCATTCTTATGTTGTGTTTTCTCCTTGTTGTACAGCTGTCCCCCCAGGCCTTATTTACTGCACACTCTTCAAACCCTGCTCTGAAGACAAACATTTATTCTGTTTCTCAATCACTTGGCTACACAGTTGTCACAGAACCTCTGTGAGATAAGAGTGTGGAAGTGCTGACAGGATTGGCACTTGCGTTTTCACAGCCGTAGGGCTGGGTTTTTTTGGGGGGGGCAGGGAATGGTTCAGGCAATTAAGCATGTGTTAGTTTTGCTTTATGTAAGGTGGGGTTACTACGCTTAGCAAGACACATTTGGCTGTAAAGATATTAAAAAAAACAAACAAAAACGTTCTATCCTAAACTTTCAGCGTCCAATACCGATCTCTGCACAACACAAGATGTCTTCCAGCAAAAGCAAATACAACAAATGCGGTATTCAGCAGCACACTTCACGTTGTTTTTCTTAATGCAGAATAAATTTTCCTGGAATGGCAAAGTAGCATTACATGAAGCATGGGAGAGTTAGAGAAAATAGTCCATTTAAATCACTTAGAAGCTTCTGCACTTGGCTGCTGGTAAAAATTTGAGATGCGATTCTAGAAAAGCCTCTATGTATAATTGGGAAATGTCACTGCTTCAGAGCTGCACACGAGTGCAGTTGTGGAGAGCCATGCCTTTGCTTTCTCCTCGCATGCAGGAAAGAAAAGACGCAGGCTGCTAAACTAAATAAAAATCAGGTAAAACCTCAGAATATATAAGTGCCGGCAGCAATTGAACGACTATAGGAAAGAAAAGGTGAACGACTCTGAAGAATTAGTGAGACATCAGGATCTATTTTGGTAGAGCGGATCTTGAGAAAACTGAGGGAGAAGCAGGTCAGAGTATAACAGCCATTAACATATTTGAATAAAGAGGACAATGATCAATTGTTCCCAATGTCCACTGGAAGGCAGGACAAGAAGTAATGGGCTTAATCTGCAGCAAGGGTGATTTAGATTACATATTAGGAAAAACTGTAATGGAAGTTAAGCACTGATTAAGCTTCCAAAGGAGACAGTGGAATCCCCATCACGGGAGTATTTTAAGAAGAGATTGGACACATCTTTCAGGGATGGTCTAGGTGTACTTGGTCCTGCCACAGCACAAGGGCTGGACTTAAAAATGACCTCTCGAGGTCCCTTCCAGCTCTATATTTCTTTGATTCTTTAAGTCAAACATCTGCCTCATGCGCTTTTATACAGCACCACTGGACAGAACATAATACAAGAAGAGACAAACTAGCTGCTTGGAGTAGAGTCCTCACATAGTGAAGCAGTGGGGAAAAAATGGTATGAGATTGAGAAAGTGGAACATTAAATATCTTACGCTATTACTGCATCTTACTATGTACAGTCTGTGCATTGAATTATTTTTTAAATTTTAAGTTACTTACCAATAGCAATCGTGGTACCAGTGTTCTGCCCTAGAAAGAAAAAACACAATGTGAGCTGAAGTGTGAAGTTATATGAATGCCAGCTAACTATAGGAATCCATTGATTCATATTGGTGCAACATTCAATACCTGAAGCCACACCCTAAAGTAAACAGACTCAAATTAATACCATCATGCAAATTACAGAATTTATAAAGCATATAGGAAACCATGATCTGATCCCTAGATAATCCAATATTGAAAGAAGAAAGGCAGCTTTTCCAGGTATTCTATTATTTGTACATTGTAATAGAGGCATGACTACAGTCCTGAGAATTGATAGGGCAAGTCCTCTATAAAGATTTTCTCTATTATGAATGAATGCTCTCATTTGCAGAATTCTTATGCATCCTTCCGAGACCAGAGGGCCCTCCCCTCCAGACACTGTCAGGATCTCATCTGCCAAATTCTGCACTGACCTGAAGAACAGCTCTGGGGAAGCTTGAAAGCTTGTGTCTCACCAACAGAAGTTGGTCCAATAAAAGATATTGCCTTACTCACCTTGTCTTTCTAATATCCTGGGACCGACATGGCTACAACAAAACACTGCACACAAATTCTGCACTGGTCAGCCACATTTTTACCTACAGCAAACGTCACTAGAGGTGGAGTGTGTGAAAGTGAAATGAATTATATTAAAGAAATAGAATGAATTAAAGAATGCTGTATGTACCTTTAAGTAGAAATGAGAAATGCTGCAAGCCAGGGGGCAGGAAAGCAGACATTAACTGCTTAATGAATTGCCCCACTTAAGGGCAATTGGCGAAGCATTAGCCTTAGATAGACTTATAGAAAGAGACCTTCTAAAAATGTTCAAATGTATTACCAGCACGTGAAACCTTAAGTTAGAAGGACAGGAGTACTTGTGGCACCTTAGAGACTAAAATTTATTAGAGCATAAGCTTTCGTGGACTACAGCCCACTTAACGAAGACTCGGCACACCACTTCCGAAAGGTTGCCGACCCCTGTAATATAGTAACAGAAAAACTAGCTGCCCGGAGTAGATTCTTCATGTAGTGAAGCAGCGGGGAAAAATTGTATGAGATTAAGATAGTGGAACATTAAATATCTTACTCTATTACTGCATCTTACTATGTACAGTCTGTGCATTGAATTATTTTTTAAATTTTAAGTTACTTACCAGTAACAATCGTGATACCAGTGTTCTGCCCTATAAAGAAAAAACACAAGGTGAGCTGAAGTGTGAAGTTATATGAATGCCAGCTAACTACAGGAATCCATTGAGTCATATTGGTGCAACATTCAATACCTGAAGCCACACCCTAAATTAAACAAATAGACTCAAAATTAATACCATCATGCAAATTACAGAATTTATAAGACATATTGGAAACTATGATCTGACCCCTAGATAATCCAATATTGAAAGAAGAAAGGCAGCTTTTCCAGGTATTCTATTACTTGTACATTATAATAGAGACATGACTACAGTCCTGAGAATTGATAGGGCAAGTCCTCTATAAAGATTTCCTCCATTATGAATGAATGCTCTCATTTGCAGAATTCTTGCGCATCCTTCGGAGACCAGAGGGCCCTCCCCTCCAGACACTGTCAGGAGCTCATCTGCCAAATTCTGCACTGACCTGAAGAACAGCTCTGGGGAAGCTTGAAAGCTTGTGTCTCACCAACAGAAGTTAATCCAATAAAAGATATTACCTCATCCACCCTGTCTCTCTAATATCCTGGGACCGACGTGGCTACAACAAAACACTGCACACAAATTCTGCACTGGTCAGTCACATTTTTACCTACAGCAAACGTCACTAGAGGTGGAGTGTGTGAAAGTGAAATGAATTATATTAAAGAAATAGAATGAATTAAAGAATGCTGTATGTACCTTTAAGTAGAAATGAGAAATGCTGCAAGCCAGGGGGCAGGAAAGCAGACATTAACTGCTTAATGAATTGCCCCACTTAAGGGCAATTGGTGAAGCATTAGCCTTTGATTGATAAGATTTCAGAGTAGCAGCCCTGTTAGTCTGTATCCGCAAAAAGAAGAACAGGAGTACTTGTGGCACCTTAGAGACTAACAAATTTATTAGAGCATAAGCTTTCGTGGACTACAGCCCACTTCTTCGGAGTTCCATTCTATATGCATCCGAAGAAGTGGGCTGTAGTCCACGAAAGCTTATGCTCTAATAAATTTGTTAGTCTCTAAGGTGTCACAAGTACTTTTGATTGATAAGAGTTAATAAGGAAGCAGGATATGCATATTGTGCCCCATGCAAATTTTACAATTTTGCTCTCTGTCCCTTTGTTTAGTTCGCACCCTTTTATCTGTATAAATAAGACCGTTTGAATCTTGCATGGAGGCTCACATTATCTGAATGTATTAGCAGAGCGCTGTGCTAATAAACAGAGTGGTCTTGACAAAATTGTGAGTCCTGATTCTAACTTTGACAAGTGTTTGGATCAGCTACCATAAAACATGTAACCACAGGATTAGTGACATCAAGTTATCTGCCAACCTGTACTTATTTGGGAGTAGAGAAGCAGAAACAAGAGAAAAGTGGTATTTTTATTTTGATACTCCTGCTGTCGTTACCAGAGGATCAGTGAACTCAAGCCTAACCATTACTTACAGAAAAAAAAGTGAACTGAGTAGACATCTCATCGGAGTGTAGTTTGACACTTGACTACCCGTTAAGCCTGTAGTTGCTTGTGCCATTACTGTGCAGAATTTGGATTGATGGTTTCCTACAGCTGACATTTTATATAGATATACTGAGTGAGTGGGCATCAGCAGGTGGGTATTACTATACACAGACCAGTGGGGGGGAAAAAAGTAGCAAAGGAAGAGATAGTTCTGGGTGGGAGACAAGACTACTACAGAGGTACAGAAAGTAATTCCAGCCTCAGGCTTATAATTCACACCTGAGCATATGGGGCATTCAGGTGACCACTACTGTACTTTATGAAGCACTACATATTAAGTGCAAATTGAAGTGCAATAATTGAATGCTCCAGTTCAATGTGTCAACCAAAGCCTCTGCTATCCACCATGAGGATTCTAGGTATCTGATCACAGTGGTTTTTCGCTCCCTTTATAGTCATCAGGTTTACCTGGGCTCTTTAGGGCCACTTGGGGTTGCGTTCAGAGTAGGTTCTGCATAAAAAGGCGACTTACAAGAGAATACAGGAGCAACCCACTTATCTGAATGTGCTGAACAAAGCCACGCCATGCATGGAAAGACCTCAAAGGCGACAAAACAAGTACAGTGATTTTACAATGTTAGTTTGCAACAAAACTTGCTCAAAAGACCCAGTCCCAAGATTGCTCCTTTTCTCTCCCATCAAAGGATTGAGCACTACCTCCTAGCACACTACTGAACTACGAAACACAGACAAGCTATTTTGCCCATTTTCTTTTCCTTAAGATTTCTGTTGAGTTTGCACAGTGAAAAAAAGTGTCCACATGCATTAGGTATATTACTCTTACAGCCATGCCAACAACTAACTCTTTGAACCAGAAGCCATCTACTCCTACAAAAAACAATTAGTAATTAGTACAGTTTTTGAGATGGATTATCTTTGGCCAAGTCAACATGCCTGGAGTGCCACACCTCGCTTGGTACATGGTCTGCCCCATTCTCAAAAGCCATCCTCTCATCCCACCTATCCCTCCAAACTGTTCCCCTACCTCCCTTCGTTTGTAAGTTCTCCCAACACACACCTGCCTTGTGTTTCTTAACTCCAACACCATCCTTCACCCACTCCAACCTGGTTTGTCCCCTTCATTCCATCCCAACTTCTCCAACCAAGCTTTTTAACTGCTCCTTCCCAGACCAGTCTCAGGCCTGTACTTCGCTCCATCCTCCTCTTCCTGTTGGACCCAGGTGATCCTATCAAGGCTGTTTAACCTGGGTATCTACAAGACTGTCACCCCTGGCTCTTTCCCCTCTGGCTGCCTCAGCCAAGACTCTTGCAGGTTCCACCTCTTCCTCTTGACTTTGGCTTCGCTCTGGACTCATGCCCGCAATGCTACGCAATGACTGGAGAAGCATATCAGCTGCCACTGGACATGGTGTGAGGAATGCCAGGAGTTGGGAGTCCTGGTGCCACAGGTGATGAATACAGATCACGCTATCATCACTCCAAGAGCTAGAACCATACTGGAGAGGACCCTGAAGGATGCCATCCGCTGCCAATACATGGAAAACCTGAAACAGAAGCCAGACCAGGGCAAGACATTCGAGAGGACGTGCAAGTGGGACCCCAGCAACCACTTCCTCCCTGGGGGCAGCTTCACCCGATTTGCCGACTGGAGGTTCATCCACAGGGCCCAGCTCAACTGCATCCCACTGAATGGGGCTGTCCGGGACAAGTGATGAAGGAAGCATGGCTTCGCCAATGAGACGCTACCCCACGTCCTGTGTAGCTGCAAGACCCATTCAAGAGTTTGGCAGCTGTGACAACGCCATCCAAGATCGCCTGGCCAGGGCCATCCCACC